TGACTCTATGCAGTGGAATCCATTTTGGGTGTTAGCGGTGCTGCGGGTGCGCCCAGCTCAATGATGTACAGGTATATACTAGAATATACAAACCGGATTCCAAAAAAGTTGGGACACTAAACAAATTGTGAATAAAAACTGAATGCAATGATGTGGAGATGGCAAACGTCAATATTTTGCACAGAAAGATAGTGCAGCAATACCAGAATGGTGTTACCCAGCGTAAAATAGCAAATACTTTTAAGTTATCATCATCAACCGTGCATAACATTATCAAAAGATCCAGAGAATCTGGAACAATCTCTGTGCGTAAGGGTCAAGGCCGTAAAACTCTACTGGATGTTCGTGATCTCTGGGCCCTTAAACGTCACTGCACCTCAAACAGGAATGCCACTGTCAAGGAAATAACAGAATGGGCTCAGGAATACTTCCAGAAAGCATTGCCAGTGAACACAATCCACCGTGCAATCCGCCGTTGCAAGCTGAAACTCTACAGTGCAAAGAGGAAGCCATTTCTAAGCAAGCTCCACAAGCTCAGATGTTTGCACTGGGCCAGGGGTCATTTAAAATGGAGTGTGGCTAAATGGAAGACTGTTCTGTGATCAGATGAGTCACGATTTGAAGTTCTTTATGGAACACTGGGACGCCATGTCATCCGGACCAGAGAGGACAAGGATAGCCCAAGTTGTTATCAACGCTCCGTTCAGAAGCCTGCATCACTGATGGTATGGGGTTGCATGAGCGCTTGTGGCATGGGCAGCTTGCATGTCTGGAAAGGCACCATTAATGCAGAGAACTATGTTCAGGTTCTAGAACAACATATGCTCCCATCTAGACGTCATCTCTTTCAGGGAAGACCCTGCATTTTTCAACACGATAATGCCAGACCACATTCTGCAGCAATCACAACATCATGGCTACGTAGGAGAAGGATCCGGGTACTGAAATGGCCAGCCTGCAGTCCAGATCTTTCACCTATAGAGAACATTTGGTGCATCATAAAGAGGAAGGTGCGACAAAGAAGGCCCAAGACGATTGAACAGTTAGAGGCCTGTATTAGACATGAATGGGAGAGCATTCCTATTTCTAAACTTGAGAAACTGGTCTCCTCTGTCCCCAAATGTCTGTTGAGTGTTGTAAGAAGAAGGGGGGATGCCACACAGTGGTAAAAATGGACTTGTCCCAACTTTTTGGGGATTTGTTGACGCCATGAAATTTGGAAACAACAGATTTTTCCCTTAAAATGATACATTCTCTCAGTTTAAACTTTTGATCTGTGATTTGTGTTCTATTCTGAATAAAATATTAGACGTTGGCACCTCCACATCATTGCATTCAGTTTTTATTCACAATTTGTTTAGTGTCCCAACGTTTTTGGAATCCGGTTTGTACGTCATAACTCCCCTCTCGCCATTGGTTACAATTTTCTTTCCTCAGGTTTAATCTTCCAAGATGGAACAGAGGTTGAAATAAGAGCAGACAAGATGTTACATGACACTTCATCTCCAAGTCTGTTCACCGACCGAGAACATAAAAGAGAATCTTTTATAACGATTATCAGTCAGACCCGAGGTCAGACAATTCTGCTCTCCAGCTTAGGGCCTTGAGTTTTCTCTGCAGCACTCCGATCCAGACAAAACAACTCTTTAACACACACACATTTGACTTCAGTAAGTGAAAAACATCTGTGACCTTTCACATCTCCATCACAAACTAACGAACAAATAAAAAAAACTGCAACGTGAATGTAACGTGTAACGCAACTCATTATGGAAATGTAGTGTAGAAAGTACAGATATTTAATGTAAAATGTAGTGGAGTAAAAGTCGAAAGTACCCATGTTGAACTCTACTTAAGTAAAGTACAGATACAGGAAAAATGTACTGAAGTACAGTAACAATGTACTTGTACTTTGTTACATCCCACCACTGCTGTTGGTTGGTGTTAGATGAAAATGAAGCACAGAGATCTGCTGTAAATTACATTTGTTTTAATGTGTTTCATTTACTTTTTAGTTTTGACGAAGAAAAACAGTTGACATGACAGGAAAATATATATAAATTGCCTAGATCTGGACTTTTTACATAAACAGCTTCCAAAACAGCAAAATAGGATAAATTAATTTTAATAAATAGAAGAATAAATAATGTAAATAAATGTTTTACAATAAATAAATAATAATAAACATAAATAACGTACAGCAATCAGTCTATACATTCTTGTAACTGCCTGTACTTTGTATTGTGCTTTGAACCTCGACAGCCGAACAAATTGAACAGCTGAGGCTTCTCATTTGTTGTAGTAAACTTTTGAAAACCTTGTTTACAATCAGGGCAGGCCTTTCTCATTTGTGAATATGATGTATGAAGGATTCAAGATTCTTTAATGTCATTTACATCGCAAGTTCTCTTTGGTACGCCCCTCCATCTTATCACAAGCAGAACTGGTTTGTTCCACTTTGGAGTAAGCTGTTGGGGGAAGAATCAGTTTTGTTGTGAGTTTCCTTGACTGATGAAGCCTTCTGGATCGAAGGCAAAACATTTCAGCACAAAAAAGAAACTGTCCAGATGACCTGACTGAAAAATGTTGGAATATGTTTATAGGTTTTTTTAATAGGTTTAGAGGTTAATAATTTTTGCTTTTAGTTTATGAAACAAGGTCAGAGGAAGCTGGTTCTGGCGAGTGCACCCGGTGTTACACCATATTCTGTGACCTGCAACAGTGCATGCAACACCGCCCCCTACAATCACAATATACGGTGGTCACAGAATATGGTGTAACACCGGTTCGCAAAGAGCTCCAAACAGTCAGAAAGTTGATTAATTTTCTGTTTCCTTACGGTTGTTGAACCGGAAGATTCATCTTTAGTGAAATATTTCCACACTATTGATGCATTTCTACCTGTTTGCCAAGACTGGGCCTGCTCCGCTCAGTCCATCTGCTGGGAGGAATCCATTTGGTAGCTTCTACTAGTAGCCCGGTGCGGATCACATGACATAATGACATCACTGCGAATACTCTACATGAAATTTAAAAACTCAATAGATGTCCTAGGAATCGACCTGTCGATTACTCGAGTAGTCTGTCAAAGCCCTAGTGCATTAAGATTCATAACTAGCGGTAACTACCGTACCTATCACTGCACCCAGTATTCACTGGTTAACTGGACATCATTACATCATTAACTTCACACAGACTCTCCCACTGGTACATTTTCATCTTTAAATCACTTCTTGGTCTGCTGCCTTCATACATCTCCTCTTACATGTCTCTGCGTGAGTGCAGCTACAGCGTGCGCTCTCAGGACATTATTACCTGCAGTGTTCCCTCAGTGAGGACTGAACTAGTTAAAAGGGCCTTCTCCTACGCCGCCCGTATCCTGAAATATGTTACAAAAAGACCTGAAGCTCTCGACCTTGACCTCTCTAAGTGGCTTTAAGCATCTGTTGGACTCCTGGCAAGAACCAATGCAGACACGTTCCTGTTTTTAGTTTTCTACATTCGCCTTAGAATCTAGCTGTTTGTTGCTACTTTTTTTTGCCATCTTAATTTGTAAAAAAAAAATTAAAAATCTGTATGCCTCTTTTATAATTGTCTATTGTTGTCACTGTTGTCATCATTCTTTGTTGAAATCAGGTCTCTCTTGTAAATGAGTCCTCGAGGCTCAATGTGATTAACCTGTTTAAATAAAGGTTGAATGAAAAAAAAAAACCTATTCATCCTTCGGTTCAAACAGTCTTATACCACCATCTGGTGGTCGAAGAAAGGTACTACACGCAAAAAAATTGAACATTTTTTCTTAAATTTGACAATAATTACTGATTATTGTCAAATTTCAATCAATTTCCTCGTTTTTCACAATAATTTCTGAGACAATTCATCGCCCAGCAAAATGTGTTATCGTGACAGGCCTAAGTATGAATATGATGAATACGATTCTCATACGATGAATGAGATATCTGACCTTTCTGCAGCTTTGACCTCAGATTGTACAGCTGAAAGATCATCTACATGGATTTTTCTGTGTTTCACCAAATCCTGTTCCCTCTCAAACGCTGCAGTACAATCTGAGCAGCTGAACGGGTTCTTTCCACACTGAGTTTTTTTTGTGCATTCTAAAATGATTTCTCCACCTGAATGTTTCATTACAGATGGTGCAGCTGAAAGGTCTTTCTCCTGTGTGAAGTCTCATGTGACCAGTTAGACCTGACTTTTGCCTGAAGCTCTGACCACAAACGGAGCAGCTGTAAGGCTTTTCATCACTGTGGGTTTCTGTGTGTTTCTCTAAATTGAATTTACTTGTAAAAGCTGCATTACAAACGGAACATTTGAAAGGTCTTTCACCTGTGTGGATTCTTGTGTGCTTCACTAAAACATGTTTCCTTGAAAACGTTTTTGTGCAAAACGAGCAGCTGAAAGGTTTCTCGCCCGTGTGGACCCTTTTGTGCCTTACAAAGTTGCTTCTCCTTTTGAAAGTTGCCTTGCAGATGGAACAACAGAATTGTCTTTCTTCTGTGTGACATGTCATGTGACTAGTTACGCTTTCTTTTCTTGTGAACTTCTGATCACAAACGGGACAGCTGAAAGGTTTCTCTCCCGAGTGCATTTTCACATGCTGTGCTAAAGAGGTTTTCCATTTAAAAGTTACTTGACAGATGGAACAGCTGAAAGGTTTTTCACCTGTGTGGATTCTTGTGTGTCTCACTAACGATTCTCTCTGTGTAAAAGCTCTTTTACAGACCAAGCAGCTGAAAGGTTTTTCTCCTGTGTGGATTCTGTTGTGTCTTAACAGCTGACACCTGCTACTGACTGATTTACCACACTCAGCGCAGCTGTAAAACTTAATACTACTCTCACACATTTGATCATGTTCAGAACTTGTAATATTTCTCACAGAATTTGAATCAGACTGAGGTACGCTGCTCTCCTCCCATTCTCCATCACTTACGTCAGTCTCAGAAGAACCTGAAGTTCTGTTTATAGAATCAAATTTAAAATACTGATCTGAGTCTGGTTCCACAGAGTGCCCATTCTCCTCAGTTTGGCTGAGATGAAGCTGTGACGACTGAGGTCTCTCTTCATCATCTTCACTCTTTACATGGACGGGACTGACTGTACACTTTGTGATATCAGCTTCATCCTGCTCCTCTTTAATCTGTGGGGTTTTTGGGTCCTCCTGGTCTAAAGTGGTACTCCAGTTCACAGGAGAAACCTCCTTTTTGATCATTGTCAGCTGCTGGAAACAAAAACACAAACAACCTGTGGGAAATCGTTTTGATATCAACATTGATTTCATCACTGACAGCATTACATGCTCACACTCATTTTTGTGTACAAATTGGTGATGGCTCAAGAACACGTCGATTCATATTTATATTATGTATTTCTGAAAAACAGCTCATTTCGATCCAGAAAATTATTATCAAAAACATCAGTTTGCAATAAAGTACTTTTATTTGTAGAAAGCGTGTGCTTTTTGGTCGTGATGTGGGCGTTGTGCCAGAAAACTCAAAATGGCTTTCTCTGATTCTACAGCAAACTTGATGATTTTGTTGATGGTTTACAGAGTTGTTTTTTTTTAAGTCTGATATAACAATAAATTGGAACTTACTGAAATAATGCTGTGTCTACAGGTGATGTTGGTTGTTGGATATTTATATTTTGAAATAATAGCTTCCAGTTGAAAGTTTGGCATTTTTCTTGCTTTTTGAGTGGTTTTCATAACATCATATTGTCTCAAGATATAATTACTCTTAAATAGATTTCTACCAAAACAGACATCAGTCAATAACATTGAAAAAAAAGTGCTTCTGTACAGCTTTATAAATGTATATTTAAAAATGTCATCATGTTCATGCAATTTATTTGCATATTTAAATCTATCAATAACTGCAGACTTAATGTTTGTTAAACAGTAAGATCAAGTGTATAAAAGTATTATTACCACGAATCTGAGTCCATCCAAACATTCAGCTAGTTTTTTATTCTCAGCACATGAATTTCTGCCAGATTCACACAGTTCAAACAGCAATACGTATCTTTTTGTCTTTAATTCTTTTAGAAACAGTCTGCTCTGTGTCGCACTGGCTTTCTGTTTGTTTTTACAGCCTGACTTAAGCTAACATGCTAGGCTAACATTTCTTTGTTTCTCTTGTTATCGAGCAAAAATAATGTATAAACCTTCAAAAGGTAGTTATAAAGAATATTGCCCATTAAGACGCATTCACAGGATTTACAAAAGACTAACTCTGTTTTAAAAATGCACACATTGAAAGAAAGAAAGAAAAAAAACATCTTAACTTACTTAGATTTGGTTCTGTGTGGATTTGGCTGCTGAAAGAAAAACAACTTCCGGTTGGCAGATCACTTCCGTTCGTGGTTGGCCTTCAAAATAAGAGCTCGAACAGAACCTCTAATATTTGTTAAAAGGTGGGACAGCCTTCTGCTGCTGAATGGGAGGAAGATAATAAGCCCTTTTTATGTGTTGTGTTGCAGTTTTGATTTTATATTTTTTGAACTCCTGTAAAGCATCTTTGAGTACTTAGAAAAGTGCTATACAAATAAAATGTATTATTATTATTATTATTATTGTAATAACAATACATAATAATCAGCAATTATGAGAAGTTTTTCTACCCTAAAAGTTTAATATTATAAGTTATCTATTCATTTTGGTGGTGGAGACACAGATTAAATTATAAAACCTAGCACAGCACATGATTCCTGCCAGAATCTGTCCCCTCTGAAATTAAAGGAATAACAAACCAAAATGTGTGGAATATATTAAAACTCTTGGTGTTGAAAAATTCTCAGCCCTATGTTGAGGATAAGATAAATATGTAATCAATAAAAAAGTAGCACAGAGAAGAGTGTGACCATCACCACTGAAATGATTTATTGCTCTCTTCCTGCTGCAGAGACATTTGCAAACCACGTCCACTCAGTACAGCTCGAAGCATCTTTACTCTGACAATCACATCGCAGGCCTCACGAGTTTGTTGATCCCTATGATGATGTTGTCAAAAACACTGATGTACCATAACACTTATGACTTTTGTTGCCCCTTCAGTATCAAAACAGAAACCTTCACAAACAAGAAAAATCAACATATGGAGATGGAAGTGGCCACACATCTGGTCTCCTGGATTACAGATTATCTCACTGAGAGACCACAGCCCGTCAGGATCAGGGACTGCATCTCTGACACAGCAACACAGGAGCACCGCAGGGGACCGTGCTCTCTCCAGTTCTGTTCACCATGCACATCTGACTTCAAATACAACTCGGAGACTTTCATTCAACCTTTATTTAGACAGATAAATCACACTGAGCCTCCAAGACTCATTTACAAGTGAGGTCTGTTTAGACAGACAAAAAGTAGTGAAATTGGAACACGTAAGAATTGGAGGCAAAAAAATTCCTATTAAACTTTTTCTTCGTGACTGAGAAGAAAAACACTAATATTAAAAAAACACCTCGCACATAAAGCACATAGTGACGTAGACATTCCCCAGAGAGGGTGGAGAGACAACGAGAGCGGTGAGCAATGTCCAAGGATGCGCTCAAGGACACTGAGTTCTGATAAGATGTAATAATCAGCCAGTTTCCTATGGTGAGATCCGTAAACATTCTCAAGGGATTTCGGGGAATGTCCAAGGACAACTTCTATGGGAATCCAAGAGTCCAGAAATGATGACACAGTGTTTATTCAGCTGGTTTCATCTGGTTGATCAGTTGGAAATTCCTCATGGTATGGGTAGGGGGCGGGGCAGAGCTTCAAATCACATGTTCTCCAGGTGAATTCAGATAAGATGGCCTTCAAGGCCAGTCAGGGGAGCCAAATTCAGATAAACACACAGTTGTTTATTGTTTATTACACATATAGACTTGCCATATACAGAAGTACTCAGATGACAGTTGCTGGGTATGTGCAGGATGGACAGGAGAGGGAGGACAGGACCCTGGTTGAGGACTTTGTAGTGTGGTGCAAATCCTACCATCTACAACTGAACATCAGTAAAACAAAGGACTGCCCTGCAGCCAATCCCAATTGAGGAGGTCGATGTCGAGGTGGTCAGGCAGGACATACTGGGCACAGAACTGGATGACAGGCAGTGGTCAGTGAACATGGACTCCCTCTACAGGAAGGGTCAGAGCAGGCGAAGACTCGGGCAGAATAAAATACATCTTAAATGTACAAAAAGAGCCTAATAAGTCTTCTTTCTCTTAAATTAAAGAGGTCCATGTATAAATAATTGAAGGCTTACACTTAAAGTAAAAAAGTTAACATCTTTAGAAACAGAAAACAATAAAAATTCACCACTTGCTCTCGCCGAGATCGGACTCTTTTCCCCTCCCTCTCCGCTTTGCTGTCTGTCTGTGAAACTGCTTGTGAGCCTCTCTTGCATTCCTTCCGAAACATAATTATGGACTTGTTTTGATCAGTTGGTCCCTCAACTCAATTTACATTATTTCTTGAAGAGAAGACAGGCTTTAGACGAGCCAATTTGCCCTGTTGGCACGCACACAGCTGGATATCTCATCGACTGGAAGACTTGATGATGTGTCTATCTCTGCTGCCATCTGTGGATTTTAAGGACGCATATTTAATTGGATTTTCGATAACTGGTTCCTGCTTTTTGGATTCAGCTGGTTGCTGGTTTTATCTACAATCAAGGAAGTCGTCAGCAGCAAACTGGGACCCGATCACGCTGCTTGCCTTTATGATGGCTTGGTTCGTGTCTCGAGTACCTGGACTCAAATGCTTTGGGCAGAATGGCTCAGATCTCGGGGATTTTACTCAGTCACGTTCCTTCGGTGTGGCCATGTACATTTCAGAACCATTTGGACCAACACAGACTCGAGGTAGATGTCATTAAGTTCTGCCCGTCCCCAAAACGACTGTGTGTTTATCTGAATTTGGCTCCCTTGGCTGGCCTTGAAGTCCATCTTATCTGAATTCACCTGGAGAACATGTGATCTGACGCTCACCACCCCCTCCCTGAGGAACTTCTAACCGATAACCAGATTAATCCAGATGAATAAACTTGTGTCATAATTTCAGGACTCTTGGATTCTCATAGTCGTAATTCTTGGCCATTCCTCGACATACCTCGAGAATGTTTATGGATCTCACCGGAGGACACTGGCTGGTTCCATCCTTATCAAAACTTTTAGAGTCCTCAAGAGCATCTATGAACATTGCTCACCGCTCTCGTCCCCCCCCCCCCCACCCCCCGCAGAATCTCTACATCATTATGTGCTTGTATGTGCGAGGTGTTTTTTAATATTAGTTTTTCTTCTCAGGCAAGAAGTAAAAGTCTGATAGGAATTTTTTCGCTTCCAATTTCCTTACTTTTTGTCTGTCTAAACAGATCTCACTTATAAATGAGTCTTCTAGGCTCAATGTGACTTCTCTGTCTAAATAAAGGTTGAATGAAAAAATAGTGGCTCTTTGAGTACAACTGAGCTACGTTTAATTGGCTCAAGCATTCAACGAGTTAATGGTGCAATACCGCCACCTACTGGACAGGAAAATGTCCAAAAGTTCTGTCTGTTTAATCAGAGTAACATGCAGTGCTGTGCAAGTGTTAAGCTTCCAGTAAACTTTGGTCCCAGATAACCAGACTCTCAGTTTATACGACTTAAAAAAATAACACTTAAGATAAATCTCGTAAGTGTGACCAACTCCACTGAAATCATTTCTGTCTCTCTTCCTCATTTGCAAATCATGTTCACTCAAGCACATCGCAGCCCTCACGAGCTTGAACGGTTAACCTCTGCAAAGTGTTTCAAGACAATAAAGTTAGTGATAATCTATAAAACAATTTAAACTACAGCCATTGCAGTAAATGAACTTGAACAAAAAGAGAACAGTGCAACAAATATTCCCACTTGATTCTTTTTTAGACATTCAAAAGTTGTAGACTTGTTTTCTTTTGTATTTAAATTGCTTCGGTTTAATTCTGAACATGTGCATCAAAGTTCATTGTATTGTATATTACAATGACATTTAAGACTTATTTATTACAAAAGACCACATTTCACTGCACATGAACAGTGAAAGTTGTCTGCAAGACAGAAAATGGAGGAAAGCCCCAACACAGAAGAGAAGCGTCAATCCTCAGTCTGTTTTCACAGTTTGCTGTTCAGAGGATTTACAGCACTTTCAAGTGAAAACGATCGAGGATCAAAACTAGACTGACAATAAATGACAACACAGGCATCATTAAAATAATCAAAAAAGGGGCAACTACTGCTTAAATCAAAAAGTTTACAGGAAAGACAACAACAACAAAAGATAAAAGCAGAATTAACCAAGATTTCATATAAACTACATCCAAAAATGCAGTTTATTTTTTAATCTCCAGTGAATTTAGTTCAAATCTGACCCATAACATCCTAAAATCAGACATGGGAAAGTTTTACACCTCGTGTGCTTTTTGCCTCCGTTACTACTAATAAAAAAAATAATTGTATTTTCATCCTAATATCTTGGGTCTGCCTGATCGAACCACTCGTGTTCTGGCTGCTGACAGCCGAGCAACTTTCTTGTTGCACACAGGGTTCCTCTCTGGTGAGATTTCATGGGCAGCAGTTAATGTTTAGTTTAAAAGACTGATTTACAAACACTTGTGTCCTGTCGTTTAATGTTTGATCACATTCAGTGCAGCGGTGAGGCTTCTTACTGCTCTACCTTGCATCACCTACAGAAACTTTACCTGACATACATTCTTAAAACAATCTGAAGTTTTGTTTTTAGGATATGAATTTAAATATTGATCTAGTTCTGCGGTCTGTTCCTTTCAGTTTTGCTGGGATGAAGCTCCGAGGGCTGAAATCTCTTCTAATCATCTTCAAACTTCACAGGACCAGGGCTAAATATAAACTCTATAATATCGGCCTCCTCTTGTTCCTCTTTAATACGTGTGGCCTTTTGTTCGTTCTGATCCAGTCTGGAACTCCAGTTCTGCTGCTCAGGAAGAAGCTTCTGTTTCGTCATCAACAGCTGCTGAACATCTGCAGAAAACAGAAACTCAGATCAGTCATAGGAAAGTCTTCATGTCATGAAACCATCACTGACGTCATTTCATGATTCATTCAGTTTTAGTTTTACAAGGCCAATTTAGACCCTGTGTGGTTTAGAGAAAATCCACAATCACTACAAACTCGTGCACCTAATTCTTGTTTAAAAAATAATTTAAGTATTTAGTTCTTATTTTTTCCATTTTAGATTATTGAGATGCTATGATACTCTTGGGAATATTTGTAAGCCAAGTGGAAACTAAGAGAAATGTTTTATCAGTTTGAACGGGGGTTCTACAGTAAATTACTGTATTTGTTAAAAATTTGAAAATGACCACAACTGAAAAAGATGCTTGCAATATGAAATATTTGATTTCTTGTAGTAATTTGTTGTATTATCCTTAAACTCCAAAAAAGAATAGTTCAAGCAAATAAAAAAAGGCACAAAATTTTGAGGAAGTAAACTTTTCACTTTAACTACAAATTACATTTAGAGCATCATCCAGCTAACTTGTCAGTATATACTCGTATCCAATTTCAGTACACAATGGTCCCTCACTGCTTCGCAGTTCGTTTATCGCGGACTCGCCCTATCACGGTTTGTCCAAACAAGATTGGACATGACACACAAATAGCTGATTGATGGATGAGCCGCACGATCAGCATGGAATTTTCATTTAAAATAAATTATTTAGCACCTCATGCACCTTTGTGCAGCCCAAACTGCAGGATAAACTTCCTGCTGCAGCTGATCAACTGATCTCCGTGCAGAGCGGAGAAGTGGGCGTGGCCGAGAACGTTTGCAGGGGGCAAAGAGCAGACGAGACAGGGAGCTGAAATCATGACTTTCTGTGCTCTTTTAGCACGCTTAGTTCGTCCATGATTTTTGTT